GCATGGAGGTCTGAAATGCTTTGGGGCAAGGGCTTACAACAGCTGTGCAAGCGGTTGGCCGCCCTCATCGACGAGGTGCGTACCGACTACCCAGCAGCCACCATCATTCCGATGATTTACTGGAATGGCAACGAGCTCGTTGGGAAGGACGGCCTCGAGCCCACTGGTACATATCCTTACGACACCCCCATCGGAGACGCCGAGCAACTTCTCGCTGACACCAGACGGCACCTGGCTTGGACCAGGGATTTCGCGGCCCGCAAGGGCTGCGCATGCCTTGGAGTCATGACCGGCGCGAAGAGCTACCTCTACGGCTTCTCTATGATTTGGGACCGTTTCATGACGGAAGTCCGGGATTACATCATCGGCGACCCCAACAATATGTTTGTGTATGTTGATGCTACACCCTTCGTCGAGACCATCGATTTGCTGGACAGGTATCATATGTGCTTCAGTGACGACAATATCACGAAGACCGTCCAGTTTATGCGCGGAACCCATCATATGTTGTACATGCTTTCCATCTTGCGCCCCGCAATGGGCAGCGTAGCCGAGCTGACACGTTCGCATGATTGCACAATGCGTCCGATCGATGTGCTCGAGGTGCGCCACCAAGAGGATTGCACAGTCAACGTTGAGGTTCTCGCGTACTGCAAGGAAACGCTAACGAAGTGCGGCGTTTCATTGTCAGAGATGATCGGGCTCCCTTTCACCCGTGAAGAAGTGGAGTTCCGGCAGCCCCTCGATTTCGCCCCTGTCGATCCAGCCGAATTTGCAACTTCAGGTGAGCCTTCCGGTGCTGATGTTTCCGAAAGTGTTCGCCCGGCGCAAGCCGGTGCAAAGGCGGCTGCGGTGGCACAGAGGGACGAGGCGACGAGCAGGCCGGTACCACTCGACTCCTACGGGAGGAACGTGACTGGGGGCCACTACGATTGCTGGGTTTATAGCATCCATGACGGCGTGAAGTATGTTGACTATGGTGAGGGCCCCAAGCGACTTGAGATCATCAAGCAGCCTTCTTTTGATTACGACCCTTCCGTCAGGAGAATCAGCAATGAGTACCACAGCTCCCTGACGTGCATCTCGAAGATCCTCCGTGGTCGAGGGACAGAAGGATGTGGGTACGTGATGGATGAGGACGGCTACATGGACCTTGAAGATTTGGGACTCGCGCTTCGCAAGGAGCTGCGACATCCCATTCCATGGAATATTCAGAAGCATCATGGACATCTTCAAGCTCGACAAAAAGCAGAGGTTCATTGCGCTTGGTTGCCCGGACGCAAGCCGGTGCGGAGACGTCCCCTGTTCTCATTGGATTTTCAAGATCAAGGCCTCCCAAGGCCATGAGGACTGGCTCCAAATTGACGACTCCGGCATCGCGAAGGAGTGGTACGTGAACCCGGGGACGGACCTCGGGCGCTGGTCTGGCTGGAACGTCTGCAGCAACCCTCCTACGGTGCTCTATCATCGCACCGATAAGCGGAACTTCGCCAACATTATGCGAAACGGACTGCTTCCAGGAGGAGGTGACCAGCACGAGACAGGCAGACCTCACGTTTTCTTCGCTGACATTCCGAGCACGAACGAAAATTACATCTCAGGTGTACGCGCTAACAAGCCCTTGGAAATACAGATCGACCTCAGGATGGCCATTCGCGCAGGGCTTTGCTTTTTCAAGACAGAGAGCGATGGCGTCCTCACGCGCGACAAGGTGCCCAACTACACGATTATTTCTGTATTGGACGCTACAAATGGCGATGTATGGTACACTCGCTCCGAGCAATCGGATGCAGGTGCACCAGCTGAGGCGACTGAGGATGAACCCCAGGGGATGAAGCGCGACCAAGCCGTGGTTGATGATCGGTCCACAGCACTGGAGCGCATTGCTACAACCCGCACCAATGTGGCGTCTCCTCGCGCCCCGCAAGGGGAAGCGAAGAGACAGAAGACTTTCAATCCAATGGAGAACGTTGAGCTGAATGTCGCCACGTGCCCGGTTTGCAACAACAGTGTGTTCGAGGGGCAGGTCCACTGCACATCATGTGGGCAGTTGTCACCCCTCAATCCTCGCCTGTTGAAAGAGCAGCAAAAGAATTACCTTGTGCAGCGTTCCAATTTGCTGAAGAAGATGGGCCTCAGCACCCATGTCACAGCCCAGGTTTTGGCATCCGTGGGAACTTTTGACCTCCGCGAGGAGGATCGGAGTAGCATCCTTCGTGGCCTGAACTCCCCGGACAGTGCTGTCATTCAGGAGGCCCGGAAGAAGCACAAGTCCGCCCTGAAGAACGGCTACCACTCTCTACTTGATCGCTATGAACTCGACCTTCAATACAGGGTTCGTATGCTTGAAGTGGGCCGTCGGGATGCGGATATACTCCGCATGGAGTTGTGTGCAAACCTCGTCTTGGCTGCTCCAAAGCAGTCGCAAGCCCAGCGCACTCTTGGAGTTGGCCTTGGATCAACTTCTGAGTCGCGAATCGCAAGGCTCGCGTACATAAAGACGGAGGTGGAGTTTTTGCCCAGCGAATTGCAGGATGCACTCAGTTCCCGTTGGATCATCATGTTTCAGGGAATGCCATACAGTCCACGGGCTTTTGTGAATGTTGTCTCCGAGCAGGACAAGCCTCGCAGCATTGGATGTTGGAATGGCATCATCCATCTGCGAAGCAATTCCCTCGAGGACCTCCGCCGCGAAATGGACTGGATATTCAGCCAGAACGAGCGCTACGCTCACAACTCGATCGAATTTTCGAGGAACGAGAGCAGCAAGCACCTCGCTCGCAACGCAGCTCGCTACGCCGACACACGTGCTCCCGCCGCCCGCGAGGGTGAGCATTGGAGCCAAGGCAGCTGGCAGAACTGGTCCGGATGGAGCGGATGGGACAACAGCAGCGGAAATTATTCTACGTGGCAGTGGCGCTAAAAGCGCAACTGTCATGGTTTGCATGTGTCAATGGTTCCCCTGACCTTCTCCCTCTGTTGTGTTACTGTTTGGCTGCTTTGTGAAAGGCCCCTTTAACACGCAGAGGGGGGTGAAGAATTTGATCGGTCAGTTTGGGGTTTTACATCCATTGCATCCGCAGTGTGGCTGTTCAAGCGTAAAATGTGCGAGCAGCGCACTTGGACGGTTTGTTGTTTCCTTTTGGGCCCCAAACTGGTAACCCTTGAATCTATAATATCAAGCCACAAGATTTATCTCGTGAAAATTGGGTATATTGCAACCCTTGGTGGTTTTTGGGGCGGCTGTTTTTTGGGGGGTTTTCGAATTCCAAGGAATTCCTGGTGATGTGAACCAATTGGCAAGTTGACGCGTATTTTGATGAACATCTACCACAAGGACCTTGTTTGGGGACACCCATGGCTTCATAACCTTGCGCATCTTGGTAGGTATAAAGTTGGCAAGCCACAAGGAAGCCAACCAGTAGGCCACAGAAGTTTGGTCCATTCTTCCAGTCACAGGTGAATCCGGGGGACAAATTTATGAGGCTTCCATTGCTTGTCCCCTCGAAACCTAGGGGAATCTCCAGTTGTCCCACGGAGTTGCCTTTTAACCTCCTCCCCGTGCAAAAATTAGGGACATTCTAGGGGCATCCTTGAAGAGAGCTTGCTTGTGTTTTTTTGCTAACAAAGCCCTAATTTTGGCCCCGATTTGTGGAATTCCAAAAGGTCCTGTGAAGGCACTTCGTGCGCACGCAAATTTGTGTGCTTGGATTTTGTTTGCCCAGTGCCCAAGATACTGACCGCGCTGCTGCTTTTAGTCACTTTGTGCAAGGCGTTTGGGCTGAGCGCGGCAGCAAAAGCAACTATATTAACAACTACTACATTGAAGACTCATTGAACACTACATTGAAGGCTACATTGAACACTGCAAACAAATTGTAGAAAACACACGCGCATACATCTTTAGCCTTGCCCTTGGTTCGCCTTCAAACTGCTCTAGAATTTGTCATTTTCTGCATAAATTCAGCCGAGTTGCAGAACATAACTAGTCACGACGTTGGCAGTGTTGCACATAGTAGTATTAATGTGCTGTTCAATGAGTGTCCAATGTGTGCAGTGCATTGCTGAATGCAGTGGTCAGCCACTAGCCGTCATGTTTGAGTCGTTCGCGAGCCAGTATCAACGCCGAACGCGCTTCAATGAACCAAAGCTGACAAGAAGGTTGGCTGACAGAGCTACCGTGAACCATCATTCTTTCTGACTTCTGAGTTTCACCCACCAAATGAAGTGAGTCAGGCTGCATCATTCCTTGTGACTTCTATGTTTCACCCACTAATTACGTGTCACCCACCAAACAGAGTGGGTCAAGTTATTCCATGACAGCAGTGCCTGAGCGCTTTGCATCTCGAAGCCCCTTCAAAAGGCCCAACGGCGGCGAGCCCCTACGCGTGATCACGGGTTGGACGTATTGGCTGAAACTGCCAAAACTGGTCACCGGTTTTGTTAGAATCTCCGTACAGATTGATTGGGGCGCTTGTCCCATTCCAACCCTTACGCTTGGCGAAACTACCACCCCGAAGGATCCCCAAGGTGTTTTTTTTGTCTGGCATCTTCGGCCTTTATCATGGAAATCTGTACCAGCATGGATGAAGGCGTACACACTGCTATGTTTGGGGTTGAGCCCAAGTGAGCGGACGCATTTTTCAGCTCCAATGCAGAAAGCTGCACGCGTTAAACCATTGTTAAGCCTTACCAAGTCGTACAATGGGGGGGGAGGGTTGTCTATTTGCCAGAGTTGTGATGGAATTCTAGCAATGTGGGCTGCCTTGGGCGGAAGTAGGCATCCATTCTCCCAAGTTGCCCTCAAAGGCTCGTTTCGAAGAGACCCAAGATTGATCAACTTAAGAAGCTTTCTGAAAGGTGCTTGAGAGCAGACCTCTGTTTAGGGGGGGGTCCTGACAGGGCCGCCCATTGCGTGTTGGTTTATGGTTTACCTTTCTGTTGCTCTGCAACCATCCAACAAAGGTGCTTCAAAGACCAAAACGTGGCAAGCTTGGTAGGAGCTTGCACAGACCTTCGACAAGAAGAACCAGCAGCTGTCGGCGGAAAACCAGAAGTTGGGAAACCGAGCGAGACGAGACGCCGAAACCAGGGCTCGCAGGTAGCTGGAGTTACATGGAGCTTACCCGGTGATAGACTTCCATTTGCTCAAGACTATTTGTTATTTCCCCCTTTTGGTTTGAAAGGGAATTTGTCACTACTGGATTTTTCCCCCGGCGAAAACGCAAATGGAGGTAGAAAGAGCTCACCCATGATGCAGGCCCCCTGACTGAGGGCATTCTTAGAGTTATGTTGTATGAACTATAGTCGTTTGGCCAAATGGAAGCATCGGGCAGGTGTGACTATTATTATATATCTCCGGCAAAGTTCTTGGTCTCCTCAAAGTTTCCCGCGTTCCGACAGTTTCAGCACATAATGGGCAAACACATGCGAATTCCGACGTCTCGGCTCGTTTATTGCCGCCTCGCAGTAAGTACTTGCCCATGTGCCAATGATCCCCTATGGGATGCCTTGACCATTCAAAGCTACGAACGATTTGTTTGGGATTTGCGGGAGTTTGCGGTTTCTTGCCGGAGATGTGCAGAACATCGGCGTTTTTCATTTCATAGCTTTGGATCGGCGTTGCACGTTTGGACCAATTTGTGTTTCCTCCATCAAGTCATTGTTCCTTTCCAGATCAAAGGCCGTGAGAATTCAATTGGATTTGTGCTTAAAAGAAGTTTTAGGAGTTTCAGCTGTTGCCTGCAGAAAGTGCTGAGGCAACTAGTCGTAAGCAGCGCGGCTCCGGGTTCATGGAGCTTGGGGCTTGTGAATAGCCTGGGGAATCCCAGGACCAAGTAGTCACGAATGAGAATCACCCACCCTTTGGTATCACTGAAGGGTCATGCTCATGCAAGGTACTGAGTGCCAAGCTGGCAGTCAGTCTGGGACAGTCTCTTGTGAGTGTTTTTACTTCCCGCATAAAACATGTGGCAGTGGCAATCAAAAAACTGGAATTCCAAAATGGGTTGCCCTGGTAAGTGGACACATGGACCAAAACCTGCGGTTTGCCCCTCCGATCGTTTAATTTTGAGCCACACCCATGTGGGAGTTCTAATGAGCGCTATAAACACGTGGATCAGAAACTGGAGAAACTGGACTAAAAATGAGTGGACATGAGTGGACGATGCGACTCAGTTTCGGTTGCTTCAGGCCCGGCCAACCAGCAACCGTCCAGGTTCGGCTGGGAACATTGTAGGTAGATTCCATTGAATTCCCCCAAGCCAAGCATTTCGTTGGCTCTTATTTAAACAACAAACCAAGCCAATGGTCAAAACAGAAGCACGCCAAGCTGAAAAGGCTGCCAAATGACGTTGACCCAAGGTGCGTCATGCTCCGGCCACAGTGAACTCCACATGTTTTCCCCTTCACATCTCACCAGGGAAGCTCAAAGAGGTGCGCCAAAGACGTGGTTCCTATCCCCCGGCCCCCCTCTCCCCCTCCTCCCCCCCCCCACTCCCCACCCCCACCCGGGTTCAAACGACGCTCGCCGAGCTCGGCGCGCTCGGTTCGTTTGACCCGAGGCTCCAAGAGAAGCTGCGGACCCGGGAGGACGACCGCCAAGCGCTGCTGCGGGAGCTGGTGCTCTCCAGGCGGACCGGCGGACCGGCTCGACCGGCTCGCTCGGCTCGGCTCGCTCCGGGCGGACGATCCGAGCGAGTGTCCGAGCTCCTAGGGCCATTCCCTACGGAGAGTTCAAAGTTCAGTGGTTTAAAGTTCAGTGGTTTAGGGTGGCTCAAAATTGAACGATCGGAGCGGCAAACCGCATGTTTTGGTCCATGTTTCCACTTACCAGGGTTGATTTTGGTACCGGGTTTTGGAGCCACAGCCACATAGGTGGCTCGTCCTTTTTGGGGACAAGGGACCCTTCTTTGGTGGCTTCAGAGGGAAACCGAAAGGAAAAGCCGTTGCTTGCCATTTTGGGGGGTGCCCTCTCAAACAAACAACCACATGGATTTCTCCTTGAAGAGTGGGTTCAAACATCGCCTTGCTGGGCCAAGCATTCTTTTGAGCTTCTTTTCTTTGGTGTCGGGCAGGGGGCAATGGGAAACCACGAGGAAGCTGCTGCCATCGGAGTGTCCCATTTGGAGTTTCATCTTGAGATTGGAGATCGCGAGTTTCCATTTCTTTCGAACCGCCATGGCAATGGCCCAGTGGAACAGGCGAAATGCATATGAAAGATCGGTGCTTCTTGGCAACAGGAGCCAGGGTGAAGCCACCACAAAAGGTCCGTCAACCGATCTGCAGAACCGGTGAAATGTACGTCAGTACAGTGCCGCATATCTTTGGCGGCTTTCAACAGAAGCCGAGCGGAAACCGTTGTTTTGTTTGGGACCGCGTGTTTGGTTTGCATTTGATCATGTTGAGGTTCAGCAAGTCCATTTGCAGCGTGCAAAACCAAAGTTTCGGGGGGTGGGGCGGGTCACTTTCGATCGGGACCAATTCTGGGAACAGAGCGCGAAACAGGGTGTGGTTTCCTGAACAACCCACGTGGCTGTGAAATAGCCATGGGTCACAATCCCGTATCCCGTACCCCCAGTGAACTCCTGGTCTTTGCTCGCCAAACCTCGCGTTGTTTGCTCTGTGGCTTCCTTTGGTTTCCCGTTTTCCAGGGCCCACATGGTGGCTTGTTTTTTTGTTGGATTCAGACTCCCCCAAACTGGGTGGGTTTTTTCTGTTTGGTTTCCCTTTCAAGGACCATCGATCAAGAAATTGCCCTTTAAAAAAGAGACCCTCAAATTTCTAGCCTTACGATCTTTGTTGGATCTTTCAATGGGAAGTACCCTCCCAAAAAAGAGACCAACGTCTAGCCTGGGATCTTTGGCTCGCACCCAGCGGATCCGGGCGTTGCTCAAGTGAGCCACTTACCCAAAACCCGGGTAAAGGTTAGTAAGGCCCAGTCCCAGCCAGAACTAGTTGCGGCCGCCTTCTTTACATGGTATACCCGGGTTCTGGGTGATACCGGGTTTTCATTGTGACTCCAGCGGCAAGCGCCGCGACAGGAAGGAGGTGCAGTCTCTGAAGACGCAGCTTTCTGGGAAGCCGGAGCCCGGCGCCGCTGTCCTCAGAGAAGCCGTCCGTTTGCTGAAATGAATATTTTTTAATTTTCCCCTGTTGGTTTTGAAGGGAATCTATGGAGGGAATCTATGGAGGTAATCTATGGAGGGAATCTATGGAGGGAATCTATGGAGGGAATCTATGGAGGGAATCTATCACTACTGGACATATGTTTATTTTTTCCAGGGGACTCAAGCAAAGGGAGGAAACACAGCGGGGATGGGTGGCTCTTTTGTTGTGTTTTTGGGATAGGGGACCATACCGAGAACCGTTGAAAGGGGCATGTTGAGTGCATCTTCGGCCTTTTTGCACTACACAACGACTTCATGACAAAGTTCGTTTAGACAGCCAGCCCCTGATACTTTTGCAGGGAAGCTACACGGAGGTTGTTTGGTAAATAATCTCACTTCCTCAGTTCATGAACTTTAAACTTTTTGGGAAGACCATTTTAGTGGCAAATATAAAAGTTTAAACTTTTTTGGGCCAGCCACTCAGCAAGTGAGGAATACTGGTTGAACATGTGTAAACAAGTAGCCCAGCCAAGCCCGAACCGAGCGCATGGGCCTAAGTGGCAAGGGCCGCCAATGAAAGGGTGAGGTTCGGGAAGCGATGATCTTTCGGTCTGAAGGCGCCAAACAGCCAGAACTTCTACAAAAAATAACTGTCGGGGGCGGTACAGGGGAAAACACCTGCTAGGTCCCCCAGTAGTGCCCTTTCTCACCCCTTTTTTGGTCGGGAGGGTCCCCCTGCTAAAATAGAAGCATGTCTGCTAAGGGTTTGCAAAACAATAGAAGAAATGGCACTCCTCGAACGTTCTGAGCAACACTAAGCCAAGTCCGTGCCAGCCGTAAGTTTCGTGAAGCCAATACTCAAACAGCGCGAAGCAGTACTGAGAAGTACTGAGCAACTTCTATTGCGGATCCTCAGCCAGGACAAAGCATACGGGGGCCAAGGAGAACAGAAGACTGATTAGCCTTGACGCCCAGTTTTGATGCCGATCAGCTTTATGGGTGCTTTTGTTCCTCTTTTGACCTCCCCTTGTTCCTGAAAAGGGGTCCAGTTCTTAACATGTTTGCAACATTGCATGCATACTATAGACATATGTATATTTACATACACATATGTACGTATCTATATATATATATAATCTGTATTGCATGTTTGTATGCATATTCATACATCCTGGTAAACACATCGCGAAGGTCGAGCCGGAGACCAAGTCCGAGGAGAAGCCGAGGCGGTTTTGGACCCGGTTTCGGCTATGGGAGCTATGGGCTGCGAGGGCGATGGGTCTATTCCTGGGATAAGCCCTAGTAAGGCTAAGGGGCTATGGGGGCTATTCCAGGAGCCCAGGAAAAGCCAAGACAATTTTAGCCCTAGGCTCAGGGGCCAGGCGGGTATGCCTGGAAAAGCCAAAAACAAGCCCCAATGAGGCCTAAAGATGAAAAATGGCCCCCTCGCCATAGGTTTGGGGGACGTTTGGTGGGCTGAGCCCGAAGAGAAAGTAAGGGATGGATGAGTGCCCTTGACTTGTCCTAACACAAAAAGGCCTGGAAGCTAAGGGCTTCCCCCTGTGGATGGACGGAATCAGGGGTTTTCTTTGGTGGTATAGGATTTCGTCCACCCACAGTGTTTGAATGTTGTGGAAAGACTTGCGATGTGGGTGTGTTTGAAACAATTGCGCGGCCACGGAAATGACAAGTCAGGGTGTCCGTGGGTTCCTGCTATTTTGGGTAAGCCTCTTGGTTGAAGTCCCACTACAAAAGCTGCCGCCTTTCAAAACAACACACTACGAATGTTGTCGGGATCCCCCTTTTGGCTGCTAGGAAAAGCAAAATGACTGGCTAGTAGGAGATCTTGAAACTAGAGACCCATGTTAGGTGTCCAGGGGGCATGGTCTATTGCTTCGAGCCTTAGGACAAACATAGGGACACAATCGGCCCGCGGCTTCGCGAGTTTGGGCAAAATTTTCGCGGCTCACGTCATAGCAAGCTACGGGTTGCTCCGCGCTCGCGAGGCGCAGCTTTTCCCAGAGGCAAGTTGACCAGGCGCGACTGCAGCAGACGCCGGGGCCTTAGCAGGGCAAGGCAACCTGGGCTCGCCTTAGGGTCAAATGAGCTGCACTCACTTCCTGAAAAACCTGGTCATTTTTGTTGGATGGCTGGTTTGACAACAGGTCTGGAAGACTGCAACTTTGTAAATGGATTTTGCCTTGGACCCACAGCAGAGGGGTCAACTGCAGAGGGGCCAACAGCAGCCGAGTCAAAAAAACTCGTCGGGGAGCTCGGGAACCAGGCCTTGGCGGGCACTGCGCCCACTGGGAACCCCCAGAAATGGGCCCTTCGTCGCTTTTTGTCTCGCCGCGGGTCACAACGAGGACGGGCTTTGAAATGGTGCTTCAAGCCGTTTAGGCCAAGGATGGCTCCTTTTTTTTGGGGGGGGGGCATACTAAACCAAGCTATATAAGAAGCCAATATGCCAAAATGGCCTGTTCAGAGCTTTGCTCAGTCAGAAATACCAGCCCTTGATTGGACGCCTCCAGATTTTTGGTGTCATCCTTTGCTTGTTTTGAAAGTTCCATGCTCCCAAACTTGCAGTACAGCCCATAGTGACACGCATGCGCATTTCAGAGGCCCGAGCAGGACGAATACTAGAGCCCTCCCAGAGCAAGCCTACTTTTCACCTGGTTTCTTTGGGCCGTTTGGCGACATCGCTTTCGCCGAAACGTGGTCCCCGAGGGCCAATCCGGCCAAATCCTGCAAGGCACAACAAGCAATACGAGCGCGAGGCGCAAGTGGAGCCCAAAGTGACAACATTGGGCCATGACGCAGCCCTGAAATGGGTGGGTCTTTGTTTTTGGGGCATCTGCTGCTTATGGCAGCCAATCGAAAGTAAGTTTCCTTCCAGAGGGATATGAATTGGGGAAATCTCAGTCGAACGATATACTGTTTGTGCCCCAACAGCTGAAAGCTTTGGGGTCTCAGCCCAGATAGGCTCCAGTGTGGTCCGGGGCGGCCCTGAGATAAGGTTCCACGAGGGTTCCACCAGGGTTCACCTGAGCTTATTGGGGCACCGGATTCTTTTTGGTTTCCATTGAACGCAATAGGAGTTCCTCTTGGTGACCACCCAAAACATCCCAACAGATCAAACTAAAAGCAGCCTGGTATCCGGCGAAGGGCCTTTAAGGGTTACACTCATGGGGTACAGACCGGCTCGTGGCTCACTTGTCAAAAAACACGTGGTTTTTGTATGTTTGATCATTTTCATAACCTCCTTTCGGCGCAGGGTTTGGTTGTTGAAAACGCGAGTCTCACTAATCCTTAAGGAAAGGGTCACCCTAATATTCTGAGTATGGGTTTTTGACAATGTTCATTGATTGCGCTTGGCCAGTCTCGATATTCCCTTAACAGCAACCCCGTGTGTCTGGGGACCACCAATTTGTTATCTCAGTTTATTACGTCAAGGCTCATGAAATCTCGACCTGCGAAGCCGAATCGGCAGGTGGCGCTCAGAGAAGCTGCGCTGAAGCTGAAGCGGATGGTCGATGCTGTGCTTGGCCTCAGAAATCGGGGCTGTCTCGTGGGTGTTGCTCGTGCTGTGGGCGAAAGAACGCGTAACTTGAGACACATGGCTGTGGGTCAAAAATGGGGTAACCCCAAAATGGCTTGCCCTGGTAAATGGAACCATGGACTAAAACCTGCGTTCCCCTGGTGGTTTAATTTGGCCCATACCCACATTGTTACTGCTTCCCAGAGTTGTGCTTGCATATCATGCAAACATCTAGCCTTTCCCGGCCGTCAGCAACTTTCAAATGGTTTGGTTGCAGGAACATCTACCGGAAATGGCCCTAAATCACCCTAAAGAAGCTTTTTTCCTGTAGAATATCTTGTGCCCCCCAAGCCTTTGAAACTTGTGAAGGGGTAGGTTGGTTGACACTGCACGCTATTTGTCCCACACTCCCTCAGAACATCCCCTCCGTGGCTGAAAAAAGGTGTGTGCTGCTCAAAGGCCAAGGTTGCTGTAACTTGGCTCCCAGCCATCCGGCTCCTCAGCTTTTTAGATATGTTTTAGTTGGTTTACAAGGGGGGGGATCCCGAACTTACGCCACAAGCTCGTCATTTTTAGCAGGGGATCTGAGGGCAGAGTTAAGAACGCAATCGCTAAAGACACCATGGTTTGTGAACATGATTGTTGTGAAATAGCCCATCTTACTTAAGCAACTTGGCTGTTAGATGACCCAGGGTTGCCAAGCAACCTGCTGCTTTGAACGCACGCCTGCCAACAAACCCATAGTTGCTCAACAAGCGTTGTGATGGCTTTAAGCCTGTTGCTAGATAACCCATAGCTGATCCGACCGCATTGACATGATTGCTCTACAGATGCTCTGAAACCATGATGGATGATAGCTGCTTCAATGACACTGCATTGTCCTTCTTAGACCATCCTGTTCATAGTTGGGGCGCTAATGAGTAGGGTGTCTCTTGAATCTGTTCAAGAATCTATTTTATCTGCAAAAACATGTCACATTGGCCCTCAAAGCAGCGTGGTTGCGTGTTTTGCGTTTTCATTCCCACAAGCACACGCCTTGCTTGGGTATGTCTCTTCTTGGGGACGGACCCGGACCCCTTTTGGTTGGTCTTCAAGGTAAAACAAGAACCCCCTCATGATATTTGGGGTTTCCAACACCCTTGTGGCCCATAGCTGGCGTTCTGACTCTTTTTTGGAGCTTGCCCATGATATTTGAGACACACCCCTGGTTTTGGAAAGGGGCCTCCCATATTTGTGGCTTCCAGCACCCTTTTTCTTCAAGGCAGGAGGTTCATGATATTCGGGGTCCCCAATTTGAAGGCACACCCCTTTTGGCCCCTGGGCTCTGACACTGACGCGCCGTGAGGAGCGGCGGACAGTGGTGGCGCTGAAACAGCAGCAGGTCGGTGGGCCAGAACTGACGCTGAGTTGAGCTCGTTCTGTGGATTGGAAGCTGGCCTATGGCTTGGTTTACGGCTTGGGGTTCGGGTTGCAGTGGGGATGCCCATGCCTCATGTTTTGGCCGAAACCCCCAGCCCCCAAAAAAGAGAAGAAGGGCTTTTCCCCCCATTTGGGGGGGGGGAGGGAAAGCAGTTCCAAAAAGGGGGGCTGGACCTCGTGCTTTGGTTTTGAACCGTAGGTCCCCCAGTAGTGCCCTTTTACCGTTTCTTTTTTGGGGGAGGGTTCCCCTACTAAGATAGACTACAGAAAAAAGTTGGTACTCTTATTCCAACCTCTCTACTGGAGGACCTAGTTTACTTAAGAAATTAACAGGGATGTTCGTCCACCTGGCAACCATGACCCATTCGGCCACATAAGGATGACTCATATTGGAGCGTCATGTTTGAGGGTGCCCGTTTCCGGGTTAAGGGAAGCTAAGAGGAAACTGTCCATGGGCCATGGGCAACAGACCCATTCCTTGTGGTTGATAGGCACAGTCGGAGACCCAGGATAGACAAGCAATGTAAGGATGACCCACAGAAGGAGACTCGGCCATCTGGGGTGTTTTAAACATCCCCGTGGCTTTTTTGGAAGATGCGCTTACATTTGTTGGGATCATGTGTAACGGGGACGTACCAAGAGCTGGACTTCGTTGCATGTTGCTTGGATGTTAGGACTTTAACTTTTTGCGAACTAACGAGTTTTCCGTATTAAACTACTAAAAGTTCAAGCTTTTAGCAGGGGAGAAGAAAGCAACCGAGGATGGACCTTGGTCTTCGTTGTCTTGAGCGTTTGAATCCGGACCCCTGGAAGCGACCGGCAGGGCAAGGGATCGGGATCGGAGCCCTCAGAAATGGGCCTGCTCAGACTCGTTGCATTAAGCTTGGCCGGCTCTTCGGCCGGGCTTTCGTTTTCATCGCCTTCCCATCTCCTGTGCTATGGCCGCTGGCCACCAGGGAGAAGAGTTAGGTTTGCCACTCCAACCGTTTTTTTTTTTCTTGGACTTAGGAATCGAACTCGCACAGAGGATCAAACAAATAGTCGGGGCTTGGCCTTGTTCTGTCACGCCCAAAGCTGCTTTCTGCTGGGCCCAGCTGTATGGAACCAGAAGGGTTGGGTTGGTCAACATGAATCCTTAGTCCTTCTGCGACATGGTAGTTTTCTTGTTGTAGTACTGTCCCACTCTCCCATGTTGAGCAACCCAGGGGGGGTTTTGGTTGGGAGGGGGTCTCAAGACCGGGGCCTTCTTGGCGCAAGCGCAAGGCGGAGATGATGCAGCAACGCACAGAGCTTGAGGCGGGGTGTTGTCAACGCAGGGAATCTTCAATAGGAGTCCTGGGGCAATGATACTCCCTTTCCAACTATCGTGGAAGTTGATAGGAGGATGAGGCGGCTCTGCTTTCGTGCTTGTTGGGAAGAGGGAAGGTGGATGCTAATGTTTTGCTACTTCATCCCTTTGTCAACCCCAGCGAGCCTTTGTGTGGTGTCCCTTGGTAGCAAGAAGGATTCCTATGCACATATATGGGGGGCTGTCGCGCGTTTGCAACCCTTGCCTGAATGGCGGAGTTCCTGTTGAATTGCCTTCAAACCGGTTCCGAAAGGGTACCCGCGGAAAAGGACGACTCAGACTGTAGCTTTTGTAAGATCGTTTTACAGGTAAACAACAGTTCTGGACTTGCGGGAAATATGAAATATGTCTAGTTTTAGCAACACCCAAGTATTGGAATCTTGAGGGGGGTAATGTAGGGTCATTGATGCACTCTCCTGAAAATGTGAAGCCCGAGCGGTCCTTGGGCGTGTTGAGGCTTTTATCCCCTCGAGCCCCCCTCTTTGTTAAACATCTTACCAACTTCGGCTGTCAAGCATCGAACGTCATGACGAACTGACTGATCAGTGTAAAACGAGTACCAGTTTGTGAAGTGGCAATTTGCCAAGAGCTTGTGTTTAGTGAATATGGAAACAGGCTCACCAAGCATTGCGAAGAACAATATATCCATTGTTGGTTGGAACGAGGCTGTTTAACTGCGTGTCCCATAAGCAAGCAAGCTGTTGGGGTGTCCAGAAAGGTCTCGACCCTACTGTCGGCGTATCCGACACTGGGCCATCCCAATAGCCGTTGTTGTTTTTTCCCCTTTTTTCTCCAGCTCCTGAACCCTTTTGCATCGAATATATATGTATATATATATATATACATATATATATATATATGTTGTTGGGTACAAAGGAGAGACCATCGTATTGCTTGAGGATGAAGTTGTTGTTTTTTGTGCTTTGGGAAACTCAGCAGGGTTTGTCAAATGAGGACCCCCAGAACATGTTGTTCAGTTGGTTTGGATTTTTCCATCAACGCAACGACGAGTCCCCTCTCTACAGCGGGTTCTCTATGCGGTTCCCCTTCAAAAATCCCACAAAGGCTCCCTCGACAAAATCAACGCCTCTTATTTGTAAGCAGAGACGCAGGGCCTTTCCTAGGCAGATGGGCCAATTGGTTTCCGGCAGAAATGAGCCACAATACAAACAATCGCAACCATAAATAGGCACGGCCGCCTTGGTACTCTTTGCATGGTTTTGGGTTCACCATTTCATCATTGGTTTTGATGATGACGCAACTGGGCTCGTGGATTTCCTGCGAGGTGCTGTTGCGACAGTGCCTGGACGATGTAAAGGCGGAGGTCCTAAGGCAAATCGAGTGCGAATCACTCGGGAGTTGGGTGCTCAAAAGCCTCCAAGGTCATTCTCACTTGCCGAATGCAGACCTTTTGACCTTGTGGTTTCCCCATTTTGGGTTCCCATTTTTCGTCATGGCCCCAAAAGGTGATCGCCTTTCATTTCTGGGTCCCTTGGGCAAGTGAGCAATAGTTCAAGGTTAAGTGGTACCCTCGATGAAGCACCTGTTGGTCTGGTGGGTTCGGGACCCACAAAAAATGGAATCAGCCCCCAACAGAAATGCTTTTTCTCCAAGGTCACAGAGCAACTGGAGTTTAGAAGGCCGTTTTATTTCCCCATTTGAGAGGGGGTTGAGGGAACATCCGTCTAATTCCTCATCCAGCAGGTTGATGTATCCGAACAAGGTTAAGCTCAAGTTCCAGGCGTTTGAAGCCAAGAAGAACTAAACAGAGGTGAACAAAAAGGCTGGAATTTGGATTCAAGATTCTCGTGCTGGCCACAATTTGGTTTGCATCCTTTTGGCAGCTGTGTCCTGGCACAACACAGGAAAGACAACATGTGAATTCCACTCACATCATGATTGCGCTGTTGCCAGCTGCAATCCAACTTTCAGTCTGTGTGCACACTGTCAAGTTTCTGACGTTTGCATTAAATTCAATTTCCAGTCCCACTTCGAGTTGCCCGCCTCGGCCAGAATGCTTTCGGCTGGCTTTGAGGTACGGTGTTTTGGTTTGGCTTGAAGTGTTGTGTATGCTTGAATGAGTGAGTCGGCACCGACATGCGCGGAGTGCGTGTTGGGGCCTCAAGGGCTAGATAGAACAAGAGCCGCAGTCAGAGGGCCACAGCAGGCAGTGGAGTTTGACCGGTTTCTAGGAACCAGTTTCTAGAGGGGAATTTGACCGGTTTCTCCTGGCATCTGACCGAAGTTGGACCGGGGGTTTTCGTGGTTTGAGGGGGAACTTGGCCGGTTTCTCGGGGGCAGTTGATGGGTTTTGTAGGGAGATTTGACTTGGAGGTGGACTGGTTTTATAGGGTGGCGTCGGTTTCCCAAAGGGGTTTGGCCACACCGGTTTTTGAGAATTTGACTGGCTGCGCGGGCTTCGCCCTGGGCTTGAGACGGACTGGAGGCAGCTGGAGCAGGGATTTTGGCCGCGCTTTTGGTTCTGAAGCCCAGACATGCGGGCAAGGATGATTGGTTTTTCAGCGAATAGTTAGCTGAAGCTGAGACTGCAACGTGTCAGACCAACAAATAGTGGAAGCTCGGACGCTGCTCGTTTGCAAGGCGTCTCGCAAAGATTGGGTTGCGCTAGCCAGGGAGTCGTTGATGGCAGGAAACCGTGGATGTCTTGTGGAGGATATTGGAGGAATGGGTGGGAAGGCCATTAGCAGCTCTTGGTGCCCGCCTCCAACTGTGAATGTGCTGCAGTGGTTCGCATACTGACCTGACGTGCTGGTCACGTGCCGCCTCCCCAGTTTAGGGGGGGAAGACTTGGCAAGACTCGAGAAACTTAACGTCCAGCCAAAGAAGCCAGCGGGCAGGTCATTTTTCTGGCTTGCTTGCTTCGAAGATCCACATGTCAGACCCACCGCCTGGGGGTGCGCATCTACGAGCGGCACGTCGCTGCCTCTTTGCAAATTGCGGGCTGGGGGCCCTGGGATTGCTTCTCTCAACCTTGATGTGCCATCTACCATGGTGCAGATCTGCAGTACGTTGCTCGGCTTGACTTTCTGAGGAGTTTGATGCCTTCTGGGGCTGGAAGTCTTCTCTGATATGACTGGCGCCGTGATTCGTACAAGGGCGGGAAGTGGCGCTTCTGGTCTTTCCACATGCGCCAAATGCCATCGCAGGTCTCGAAGGCGAAGCCTGAGGCGCGGGATGTGGCCAGCCTGATGATCGAGGTGCCTTCAGGATCGAGTCTGGTGATTGAGCACGCAGGGCTTGTCATTTCGTTTCCAGACCCTGGGTTGGACAGTTAGACATCACAAGAAGACCCACAGGTTGCAGCGTTGCGGCCAACCTGCAACGGCCATGTTGTTCTTCGACAAAGTGATGTCTGACATGGACCGGGACAGGGTCACTGAGCACCTTCACGTTTGTGGCCCCACGGGGACCAACCTGACTACGACGTGTGAGAAGCAGCTGCGCGCCGGGGAAGTTGCCAACCATCGAACGGCGCGCCTTGCGGCTGGGCACGGCGACAACTTCGCAGGAGGCGAGGCAGGCCTGCCTTCACCCTGATAGTCCCATGTCACAGCGTTCGTGCCAGCGCAAGAGCGGTTTTGTCAGCAGCGTAATCCAAGAGAAGACTTCTTGTCACCCGCCAATAAAAGGGCAACGCCTCTGCGGTCCGAATGGTCCACCTGACGGCCAGCGTGGCCGGAGGCAGCGGCAAAGAGTGCTGCCGAGACCTCAAGGCACGATGTCCTGGAGGCCTGCACAGCTGCAGGAATTACCGCGCGATTGGATGCTCTGGCCACCCTCGCAGATGCCGCTCTGCAACGGGATGACACGCATCTCAAGATGGTAATGCAAATGGATGGTAGCTGCTTCTTTGCTTTCTCGACAAGTCTGCCCTTGGACCATGACACGTTGAGGGGCCAAAATTGTGGCCTACCCTCGCCACTCAGGAGCTACAAGGCACACCTTACTCACGCGCTGTCTCGCGACCTGCACCTAGGCCACGCTACGAGGCAACAAGAGCGCAGGCACTCCCCCAGAAATAAGCGCGTCAAGCGGGAGGCTGCCCAGAAAGACTGATCGTTTTGCTTGAGGCTGGAAAATGCCAAGCCGCGAAGCCGTGTGTTTCGAACTGCTCAGGTCTGAAATTTGGGTTGCAGCCGTTTGCAAGGCTTCGCTGTCTCATCCCGAGTTCTAAATTTGAATGCCAGGCTCGCTTCCCAGAAGTGGGCCTGCGGCATGGGAAAGATTAAATTCGATTTCCAGCTTTCCTAGATTCAGAAAGCAGCCCCTTCAATTCAAGCACCTATTAATCCAGCATTGGTTTATCCGGGTCGACATAAGTGGAAATTATCGTAAAGCGGCCTGGGGCTTTCAAAGGGAGCCCCTGTCCCCAGCCAGCCGCTTAGATTTTAGCTGCTAGGGGTTTTTGTGGGGCGTCCCATTTAACTTATATGAGGTTTCGAGCCCCTTCAAGAAGTTTCCTTTCGAACTGAACCACCTGTGCTATGGTCCAGGACTCGGGATGTCATGAGCCATTAGGGACTTTAGGAGTTTTGGACAAGGACTAGGGCGCTTCAGGGACATTGGACCGTGATCCACAGGGTTTCTCAAAGCATGACCTTTTTCACCAGGCCACCTTTTGCTGTTGTTGTTTGTAGTTCTTTTGGGGGGGGGGAAAACTTCATGCGGATAGTATAAGCACCACTGTAGAAGGCGTCTTGACCATGATGCACCTGAGGTTCGGGCAAAGCCATTGCCCAGTTGGAAGGGACGTGGGGGACTCTCGACTTGTACAACAAAAAATCAGGGGGGCTGACATGGCCTGACTAGTTTTCCCATATCCTCTTGAGGAACAAGTCGTTTTGACCACGGCACATGGCCTCCAGAGCATCGTGACGAAATGGCCAGGACCAGGATGCATGAAGAGGGCAAGGAGTTTTGCGTCGGCGGGTCGTTTGACAGCGCCCCTTCAAGTGAACGTTTTTTGGGTGTTTTTGAAAGTTACCTTTGAGAGAGTCTCCACTGTCGGATGTCTCTTTCATGGACCCAGTTTGGCAGCCCTTAGACTTGCCAGCCCATATCTTTTCTGCTTGAGCATGAAGAGGCTTGACAGTTGAAAGCTTCCTTTGAGGGGGTCCCTCCATTTGGCCTTGGTGCAAGGCTCAAATATGAAGATTGCCTTTCTTCAAGGGAACAGAACTTTGTTGTCGGGGCATCATGTTCAGCTTCTGCAACTACGAAGCAACCGGGCACGAAGCCACAGCCCTTCCCAATTGCGCAGACCATTTCGCCCGTTGCCCTTTTCGTTTTCTAAGAACACCTCCTTTTGCTTCAGAAGTGTCGTTGTTTATATAGTGATCGTAGATTTAATGGGAATTTGTCATAACCAAGGCGTCCTATTTGTCAGTGGCTCCCGCAGAGCATGCAAGGACACTGCATTTTGACGGGCACGTGTCTATGCCAGGCGATTAAGGCGGAGATAAACAAGCCCTGCCTTATCCCAAAAGGTACTTATCTTGGCAAGGGGCATTAGAGATGTGCTTGTTTTACGTGGTGCAATCTTCGTGCTGTGCTTTGCTTTTGTCGGGTGATTCCTTGCTTGTGGCTGGCTGCTTTTGCTTCAGCTGGGTTGTTTGGTTTGGGTTTGGTGTCGTTTCGTTTCGCTTCGTTTCGCGTGGCTGGTCTGGCTTTTGTTTGTCTCGTGTGGCCATGCCGATCTCATGCTTCTCACTGGCCAATCGCAAAGCCAAGCTACCAGCATCTGTTCAGTGCCCTTCAATTTTGGGGGGCACTTGACGTGTATGGTAACGAGGGCGCGGAAAAGAAGCTGGCAACCCGATTTGTGTTGGCTGCTCGGTGGGTTTGCTGCTCCAAGCGCCTGCCTGCCACCGTGCAGGATCCCGTCGGACCACCGGCGCCGCTGTCCTCTGTGCCAACAGCTCAGTGGAAGCTGAGTGGACTGAACCCTTCGATGCCTTTGTGTGGATGATGTGGGTGTAGTTTTTTTTTGCCAAGGGGGGGTTCCCCTTTTTTTGGGGGGGAAGGCCTTTTGATTCGCATTAGTTTTTTGTTTTTTTGGGGGGGTTAAGAGGGGGAGCCCGTTTTTGATTGGCTGTTTTGGGTGGAAAAGTCTGAGGCAAAGCCAGTTGAACATAGGTCCAACGGGTCCAAACGATTTTCAATAAGTGGTCTTGTTTGCTTTTGGTTCTGCTTTGGATGTCGGTCGAGCCAAATCAGCACTCGCATAATTCCAGTGGGGGACATTTCCAATCAAAAAGGAAGCTGCCTTTATAGGAGCTTGTTCGGTTTTGGCAAGACTCATTTGGGCTGTTCATGGTGACTCACTTGAGCACTTGGCGTAGCAGGTTTTTTTTTGGTACTGGGGGTGTGTGTAAACCCAAACTACCTCCGGACTTGCTGGAACCACATTGCATGGAGCCTAATAGGGGGTTCTGCCGGCCTCCCGAAAAGGCAAGCAACGCCGCCTGAGCCACAATAAAAACCTCGGAGGAAAGTTCGTACAACAGCCCCCACCGTAAGTATGTCGACTTTATCCCAAAAAGGCAAGACCAAGGACCGCCGTGATGTCCATTGGCCAAGATTTGTTTCCACCAGACCCGGGAATTGGCCAATGCAGCCAACAAGAAACTTACTGGGATCCAACTCTTCCATTTGCTGAGATGTTTCTTCCCCTGCTGGTTTTAAATGAAATCTATCCCTACTGCAAATGGTTTTCATTTTTCCCGGGGATTTAAGCAAATGGAGGGTAACCAACACTTAAGCCCCAGGTAACCCCCAAGTTCACCCCCAGTC